GTTTAGGAACAGTTGCCAGTTCCCTAATTTCCCATGACCAGACAGAATTTCTCACGGGACGTTTTGCTATGGATAACGTAAGACGCCTTTTGAACATTATTGACTCATCCGACTAACGAACAACACGCTATCCTCTCACTAGACGCAGAGAAAGCCTTCGACCGGGTTGAGTGGAGATACCTATTGTCTGTCTTAACTCGATTCGGTTTTGGCTCTCGCTTTATCCACATGATCCAGACTCTCTATACTAACTCTTCTGCACGGGTATCTACAGGTTTATGTTGCTCAACTGCTTTTCAGTTGAAGAGAGGAACGAGACAGGGTTGCCCATTGTCGCCATTGCTATTTGCAATCTCATTAGAGCCTTTGGCGCAGGCAATTCGTCAGGATCACATAATTTCCCCTATCACTATAGGCTGTTCCAAACATTATATTTCTCTTTTTGCGGATGATATCTTGCTGTATGTCTAACCTTTCCACTTCTCTCTCTCAATGTCTTAAAATATTTAAAGATTTTGGCAATGTCAGTGGTTACAAAATTAACTGGGAAAAATCTGTATTAATGCCCCTGTCAGCATCGGCCAATACTGCATTAGTGTCCACCTCGATTCCAACTAGTAAGACTTTTAAATATTTAGGAATTCAGATCTTTTCCACACTGCACGCTATTGTCAAGCAAAATTATATCTCTCTATTCACTGCTATCAGACAAGACCTACAGAGATGGGACGCTCTTCTAGTTTCACTACAAGGCAGGATCGCAATTATCAAAATGAATATCCTTCCTAGACTCTTATTTTTGTTTTCCATGATCCCTCTTTCTCCTTATAGAACCTTTTTTAAAGAAATGAACTCCTTGATTACAAAATTCATTTGGAACAAGAAACGCCAGCCTCTTTAAAAGAGGCAGATGAATACTACGACTGCAGAGAGAATGTGCCAGATGTGCAGCCAGACTCACATGGTTTTCCTTGCAGTAGTATGACAACGTGGGAAATCGACCTCTGCTACGAAACTTCGAGCTTCCTACGATGACAGGTAGGGTGACGGATTTTGGCACAAACAAGTCAGCTGGGTAAGTATCACACACCTGTGTTACAAGGAGAAAAGTTAAAAACAAGCACTTACATAGTAAATTGATTGTGTTTACGTAGTGATGGTTGGTGATATACTAACTCTGTACTCTCGGTTGATTGGGGTGACATGCCATAGCTTATTTGGAAGTCCCATTCGACTGTACTCAGCCTTCAGATCTAAAAAGTCCCATGAGTGCTCCCGTTCAGCTTTGTCGACATTGGGATTGAAGGAAAAACAATACAACTCTTCATATTTTTCTGCAAGTCAGAAAACAAAAACATGGTACACTGAAATAAGCATAACAGTGTATTAAAGAACAGTCTATTTAATTACTTTTGAAAACTGTATTAAATACACAAATGCTGATTTGTCTGCAATGATATCGTTATCACAGTATATTTCTAAAACAATGCCAAAATGCATGCTAGGTGACCCACCTGGCCTGGAGAGACGTGAGAGTGAAATGTAAACATTGTGGCAGTCGCTCTCTTGAGAAATGATAAACTGCATGACCTGAAAGTTCTTGCAGTGGATTAATAAAGGGTATCCGCTCTGAGATGCTTTATGCTTTACAACGTTACACACCAAACTGTGCAGAACCTGTGAAAAACAAACATAAAGTGTCAGTTATTGTGCTTATAAAAAGACAATTAAAGTAGTACATATTTAGAACACAGAAATTCTGCACAATGACATTCCAAAAATGCCAAACGCTAGTTTACACATCAGACACTTACCCACAGCTCACTTCTGTCCTCAGATCCTTTACCGACAAAGATAGTGTGTGTGGCTGTCAGGTAGAGCATGCCCACTTGAATTCTTCGAGAAGAACTTCTGTCCACTAACCGGACATTTTCAACCTGTGAAAAATAACCAAGTTAATTAGATAACATTAGTATTAGTGATGCATTAAAATACCAGCTCACAGTCCAGGAAGAAGGAGCAGTTGGAATCTTAGATCCGTGCTGGTGCTATCTACTCAACCTCCCTCCCACCTCCTCCCCATTTTATTTATTTTTACCTATCTATTATTATTTATTTATTTATTATTGTTATTCATTTTATTTTTTATACATGCAAACCCTGGTTTTGTATATAGTTAAGTTGTGTCACACATGTTGACCATGTTCTATTCTGCAATAATAAAAAAATAAATAATCACAAAATATATATATATATTATTAGGGTTAGGGTTATATATATATTTTTGTGGGGACACAATTGATTCATTAAATCAGATCTGAAATTATTTATAGAATTATTTGAACTTTGAACACTTTTTGCTGTTTACGTTAAAGCAACATTATGAATATTATTTTAAAACCATTTTAATTTAGCCAGTAAATTTCAAAATAAAAAAGGGCATGTTATTCGATTAGTATTATAAAAACTTCTGTTCAAATCACTCCGAATGAATGCGTTGTGAAGTGCTGAATGCTAACTGCATAGTTATTTAATAAAACATGATGCCAGGTGACTCATAAATGTTGCATACTAAATCATACACACACAGAGTCTCTAACCTTTCCCCTCATGATATTTAGTGATCAGTATGCTTAAGGTCACATTAAAAGTCATGCTGCCGTCTCTTCCAGCTTCACACACGCTTCTGAAGGATCGCATGAAATGTGGTAAAATGTTTATCAGCAATATATATACAGCTACTTTAAAATCATATTAAGATTCATCAAAACAATTCTCGCATACAAATATCAGCAATCATGATGAAGAATATTTAATGGGCCAATCATTCATCATGAGGCAAGGCCGCTGTCACTGCTGCAACCCTGTCATCATGATGAGATATGGCAATTACTTTAATAAATCTGGACAGCTTAACCTCATTAGAATGTCACATAGACTAGCTGCCCACTGGGATTTGGGTTTAGAGACCACCAATGTGTGAGAAATGCCATTACTGACCTGTTTTGATTGATAGTTCTGTTCTAATATACAAGTGTACAGGCTGCAAGCACATTTGTATACATACACATACACACACACACACACACACACATGCAGATACACACACCGCTAATTGGATCATGCTAAATGATTTAGCTGTAAAAGGCTCATGATTTCTGCTATCTCGTTAACCCTTTTCACGAATGAGCATAATTGTGTATTTACCCATTTACTCCTCATTCACTCATAATCTAGTGGCATTTGAAAGTATGTATGCGTGTGATCAATTTACAGATTTAATCCAGCAGCTCTAGATGCGTTCTGATGGGAATTTGTGTGTTTTTATGGAATGTGTGTGGTCTCAAGTTTAACCAGTGCTGAACCACATAAACACACTGCAGCTTACTGCAGATGTATGCACATATTCAATATATATATATATATAGAGAGAGAGAGAGAGAGACAGAGAGAGAGAGGCCTAAATTTAAGATTTATGTATATGGATTTCATATAAAATTTCCATCAATTTGGAATACACGGTTTTAACATAAGCAAACTAATAATCATACACACTTTCTCTTTATAGCACTGTCCTGAACTATTTTCACATAACGTAAATGCAAGTGGGCTGGTCCCTTTCACCATTGGAAAAATGTGGGCCGCTGTTGAGCTCGGGAGGGCAGCGTCACTCTCTGCCCCTCTTAGTACAATCATAACCAATCTGTCTGCTGAATCCATGCACTAAATTTCAATAGATCCATCTCACTTCACGACTTAAAATAGTCTAGAAATGCTGAACACATTTACGAGTTTAGGACTGATTCAGTTTTTTCTATACAGTTCAATGTTTTCAAGTGGATTAATCTTTTAGTGCGGCACTGGCTCACCTGCCCATACAGTAGACGAGCTGTTTCATTTGTGTATGCCTGATTATGCATCACATTAAGTTTATTAGTTTGTTTAAAACGATGTAATGCAAATTAATTGAAATTGTATATGCAATTGAATACATAAATCTTAAATTTAGGCCTAGATATAAATATGTATTTTTTTGTGTACATGCATGTGTATTGTACTTGTGCTACTTTCCATTCTCCCTCTAGCTGACCGTATTCCATCCCTCGTTCTGCTGTTTTTTACAATGGTTCAGGCTCAGGGTGTATCTTCTCTCAGGCTAATTGACTAAAATTAAACCTTAATTAACTTGGCATTCTCCTGCCTCATTGTATTTAACTAGGCTTTTTTTCCTTTAAGTACACTCACAACTCTCACTCTTCATTTTTAAGTGAGAAAGTTCACACGAGCCTTCAACGCGTCTGTGTGCATTCCGGATGGAGTCAGTTGATTGGATAATGATTGATTTTGTAGACTGGAGTGATCTCTGTAAAATATATATTGGTATTTATAGGTGATCTTCTCTGTGGGGAAAAAGTAGTTTATGTAATGGAGATCTTATGTAATTAGAGGTCTTATATTGATCTCTAAGAGCAATTTAAAGCAACTGTATGTGGTTTTACGTATTTTTGCGACTTTGGAGCCATCTACCAATAAGTGAGTGAAATTCATAAGAAGTCATAAATATATCACTGTTGTACAAGTCATTTGTTACTGCCGTAAAAGCAATCTGCACTTTTTGTGGAACTTCATACCCGCTCTCACCAAACTTACAAACTCCCAGAACAAACGTTTAGGGGGGAGCATTGGAAAGAAAAAGAAGCCATTCACCTTATGTCAGTGCACCATCAGACTGATTTAGAAATTGATATTTCAAGGTAAAAAAAACAAAAACAAAAAAAACTTTATTCTATTTTCTAACTCTATTTTTACCAGAGGCTAACCAGCGACAAGATGAGTCAGCATTGGTGGAGGGTTGAATGCAACGCTGTCAGATTACCTCGTGTCTCGTTCACCGGCGAGAAAACATTACAGTACAAAGCACATGATATTCCAATAATAACGCCTTCCATTCTCGCTCGGTCTGCAATAGCGTAATGGATTATGTATCATGTGTGAAGAGGTATGCAAATACGTATGTTGACAAGCAGGTAGGACAGCCTGTTGTTGCCCTTGGACAGAGGGATATGATTGGATGAGCATTTTATGGTCCTACGCCTTCCACAGACAATATAAATACATATAAATACATTTAGACTATTTAATTTAGTGATTGCTATCGGGATGTGAAGAGACTTTCAACCAGCATAACAAAAAATGTTTTTGAACCAATCATACCCTACCTTTAATCAGTATTTTTTAATTGATATTTTGAGTGAATGATTCAATGACTCAGTCACAAAGGGAGTCATTTGTTTTGTTCCTGAATTTTGTTCCTGAATGTGTTTGAATAAATGATTCAAAGACTCAATGATAAAGACAGTTACTTGTCGCCACCTACTGGCGAACCAGTCTTTCAGTAATACTAAAATAACATTGAAGTATGTGTTGAGTAAAAAATTATTTCAATAATGTTTGAAATCAAATCATATGGTTATCTTTTGAATTAAAAAATAATATGCATTACGAAAAGCATTTATTTATTGAAAATTAAATGTATTTATTTATTTATTAAAAGGTTAATATTAATATTTAATAATAAATAATAGTAATTACATTGTTAATTAATATTTATTAATGCATGTATTTGTAAAAAAAAATTTAATCACCTGGTGCTTACATAGAAACATAGAAACTTTAGTTGTACTAAAATACAACTAACTATTGTATTTTAAATATCAGAAATGTTGGAGCTATAGCCTAACCGTTAGCACACATACTCCTAAACATTGACCTCTGTTCCAGAGTGGATGTTGTAAGTGTGAATATGGCTTGCAACATTTATCTCTTTCCTTTCTTCAGCTATTCTGATTCTATACTATATAATATGCAAATATACTGTTGTCACGAATCCTGTCCATGGACCTTTAGCTTCCTAGCCTAGCCTAGTCTTGCCTTGTCTGTTTTCTCGGTTTCTGATCTTTGCCTGTTTTCCTGGATTTATCCCTTTAGTCTCGCCCTTGTGATTCTGTTCGCCGATCGTTGACCTACGCTTGCCCTAGGACTATTCTTGTGTCTCGCCCGCCATATACCTGTTTGCCACTGTTCGACCCTGCCTGTGTTTCTGACCTCCTCTGCTGTTAATAAAGCTTGCACATGGATCCGCACGTCTCACGTTTTGTCAGCCCCCTAAAAACTGTGTTGATTTTGCCTGCTCTTTATCTCTCTTATTTTTATCCCACTTGTCATCTACCCACTCATTTATTATTACATGATGCACACAGGATTGGCATCCTCTGTGTGTGTGTGTGTGTGTGTGTGTGCAGCCACATCTCATTTTCATGCTGTGGATGTGCAAATGTCATGCTGATGTGGCCTGATTTACATTAGAGTGCTTCAGCCCTAAAGTTCCTAAACAACAGTGGCGTATACTCTTGTGTGTCTGTGTGTGTAGATGTGGGTCTGTGTATGCCCATGCACACCAGAGAAGCCATATGTGAGTGATGACAGTGTGTACACTTGTGCATGTGTTTAGAGAATGCGAGGCATTGGATCATGAACAGTGGGGTGTGTATTCTGAATGTTAATGTCTGTATATTGTATTGCATGTGAACAAAATACAATTAGCATTGGCGCAGAACTGCTGTGATTTGTTTGTTTGAATGCATGTATTTGTTTGTATGTAAGCATCTGTGTGTGTTTTTTGGCTCTGCATCCCATGGCATTATATATATATATTTTTTTTGTTGCAGTATAAGGCCTGTGGCTCGACAGATTCCTCTCTTTGAAATATTGGGAAGGGTATGTGTGTTTTTATTTTTTTGAACGTGTATATAATAAACACATAAATTGTTTATTATTATTGGGTAATACTTGCCAGTCACTGCCAGCATTTTTTACATTTTCACAAAATTTTCATGGATATTTTGTTGTATGAATATCTGAACATGCAGTATGTCAAAAGAACGAACACAGACTCACAGAAAAGAGTTTTTCTTTAGCTTCATGCATTCTTTTTTTATCAACACTTGAATGTGGGCAAGTTTCATAAAAAAAGCTACATTTTGAGTAGATCGCTTCCATCAACACCCCCAAAACTTGCATAGTCCTGTACCACTTCCTGGCTCAACATTTCATTCGGAAACGTTAGGCAGTTTTGATTTATATGCTGTTTAACATTTGATTATTGTGTTATTTAGCATTTGCATCTGCTTACATTTGCAATCGCTTGTTTCTGCTTCTTCTTCACCTGTGTTTGAGCCAGACGTTCAGTACTCTTTCAGAATATGTGTAATAGTGCCTCTTACTGGAAAATTCCGTCAGTGTCTGGGAAGCGTTGTCTCATAAATGACGGAAAATTCCGTCAATAGCAGGAAAGCCTTGTCTCATAGATTACAGAAAATTTTGTCAATGGCGGGAAAGTGTTGTCTCATAAATGACAGAAAATTCTGTCAATGGAATGCTCAGGCTTTCCTAGGCGGTTGCTAGGGTGTTCTAGATGATTGCTTGGCCAGTGGTTGCTAAGTGGTGTTACAGATGGTAGCTAGGTGGTGGTTAGCGTGTTCAAGATGTTTGCTAGGACAGTGTTAGGTGACTTGTAGGGTTTTGTATAGGGCTGCACGATTAATCGAATGTG